ATACCTTGCCTCCTACTGAAATTGCTTTTCCTATGTTGCAATCAAGCTTTATACAGGGTTCATGCTATGATTTAAATAAAGAAAGAAAAGTTATGAGATAAATAAACTCTTAATATTAAATTTCCCATTGGTACTTCTCTCCTTTCAGTTCAGTGGTGGGAGTCTGCCCTTTAAATGTATTAATTTACAATTGGATAATGTATTATTTGGCCTAAATACCTTAAAGGTACCAGATCCTGCCTGATCTTGGAAGCTAAACAGGGTCAGCCCTGGTTAGTATGTGGATAGGAGACTAGCAACTGACTATCGGGTGCTCTAAGCTATATTTCAGAGGAAGGAACTGGCCAAACTACCTTTGAATATTCCCTGCCCAAGAAAACCCTATGAAATTCATGGGGTCTCCATAAGTCCACAAATGATGTGAAGGTGCATGCATACACACACAATGTACATTTACACATTTAATTCTTAGCTTGCTCAGCTTGCGTCTCTTTGTCCCACTGTATACATTTTCCAAGCTTTCATTTTAAGAAAAAAGAGCACCCTATAAAGGGAGTCCTATAAAATATTCTTGCATGAGCTCTTCCATATAGCCAGTTGAGAGCAGGTCTTAGAAACCTCGTGCCTGCCTGCAACTCTTATTTGTTCCTCCCTCCTTCAGCCCCCTTTCCTGCACTCCTCACTTGTTTCCCCATCAACTCTTTCCTGAGGATTAGCTGAGCAACACCTGCAGCAGAGAGAAAGTTGCAACCATCTTCCCTCACATCCATGGATTTGGAGAAAGGTCAGTTCAGTTCATTTTTATTATAGTCATAGACCATAAGGATAAGGATAAGCACAAAGGATTTGGGGAAAAGAGGCTTGCAGAAAGACAGACACCAATGCAGATAGAGTTCGCTGAGCCCCTACTTTGGTGAGATATTTAGCTTTCTTTGATGCCAAAACAAATTGCAAACACCAGGATTCCATAGGATGGAGCCAGGGCAGTGGTGAAAAAACTGCATTAATTCTGAAGTCCATATGCAGCTTATGCCTATGAATTCAGAGACATACCTGTGTTAGTCTGGAAAATGAATATGCTAAGGGATTTTATAGCACCTTTGAAACTAACTCTGCAACAGAAGTTGTAGCATAAGCTTTCATAGGTTTGGTCTGCTTCATCAGATGTTTTCACTCCCTGCATTTGATGAAGCAGACCAAGTCTACAAAAGCTTATGCTACAACTTCTTTTGCTCAGTTAGTCTCAATGGTGCTGCAACATCCCTTTGCATACTGATATGTCTATGAATGAAAGGGAGAATGTGTGGTGAATGGCATGCAGTCAAACCACTTTTAGTTCTGGAGTCCATTTACATCACATAATTATGGTACTATGATTCTACTTTAATTGCTATGGTATCACACCAGTGAATCCTGGGATTTGCAGTTTAGGAGAGGGGCATCTAGAATTCTCAGTTAGAGGTTCCACTATGTCTCTGACCAAATTCAATCCCAGGATTCCATGGGATGTTGCCATGGCACTTAAAGAGGAACACTGTAAGCATATAGTGTGATAGGGGCCTGGTCCTGTCTGTAACCATCTACAGATCTTGACAGGTTTTCCTGGAGATAAATATGGACCTTTGAGATAAAATGCAGGGCTTTGCGCTAAAAGAATGGTCTTCCAGCCCTAGCTTAAAGCCCAATATTAAGGCTGATATGTTAATATTTAAGTTATTTAGTATTATACTTATCAAACATAGCATTTCCTTTAAAAAATCAGTTTAAAACTTTAAGAACCAATTAAAAACATTATTTTTTTATTCACTATGTACTAGGGCCATTTAATCTCTCTGTCTCCCTGAAGACTGTTGTGCTACTTCTCTTTGGATTTTATAGACTGTTACTCACTTTAGAAAAAATAAGTCATTTACAATTTCTCCAACTTCCCTAGAATCATAAAATCCATATCCAAGAGGATTATTTTACCATTTGGGCAAGACTTTTACCTGGAAACTGCCTTTAATTAGCTATCCACATTTAATACTGAGTCTTGAAGAGCCTCAACAAAAAAGGAAAGTAATTTAATAGTGTGCCAGGATAAAACCTCTATGGAAGTTACATTCAGATAGCTCAATTAGGTGGATTGTTCTTTGATGCAGGAGAACTTGAAAATTATGCAGAATCTGTTGGGCTGAGAGACTGGAAGTAGCTAGTTAGAAATAGCTAGTTACTTGTGTTCAGTTCCTTTTCCTAATAATGAAAGTCTAACTATATTACTTTATATTGTAATATAGTGAGGGCCACTTTTCATTTAATCTTCTGTATTTATTCTAATATGCCTTCAAGTCAACAATGGGGCCCTATCACATGGTTTTTTTAGCAAGATTTTTTTCAAAGGGTTGCCCTTGCCTTCTCTGAGGCTGAGAGAGTGTGACTTGGACAAGGCTGAATGGGCATTCAAACCCTGATTTCCCAGAGTCCTATTTCAGCACTTAAACAACTACACCACACCGAGTCATCTTTTTCCAATGTAACACTAATGTTTAAGTTACTTTTATAGTTATGGAGTTGGTGAGCTCACTAAATGATAGAGAAGAAATGCATTCAAGTGCTGTCTTATGCTGTGTATGTACTGTCTTGTAAGAACCAAATGTCTATGATGTGGCCAGGAGGAAAGGGAGAATTAAAAGTGACTGTTCTAGTAATGTTTGCAAAATTGGAAAATAAAGTTTTTACTATGTAAAAGTAACTTTTTAAACTTTTTAAAACTTTGGAACTGTAATGGTAAAGGGCACAGCTAATATAAAATATACCAGTCAGTATTCTGTATCAGCTAATTAGCAGAGTATACATAAGTAATCTCTTCTGGCCTGACCTCTCTAAACCTGATAGAAACATCATTCAGTATGATCCGCCTGCTGGCAAAATGGAACTTATTCTCCCAATGCAGCTGATGTCAGGTAAAGGGGGGGGGGGAGTTATAATTGTGACATTAGTGTCATAATAGGGGCTAAGTAGCAATTGTGGATATAGTATACCAATATATGGATAAATCTGGGTACCTGTTCCATATTCATGATGGCTACTATGTCGTGATTGTAACACTATTGTCATGACTATTGTGACACTACTGTAATTCCCCTCAACCAATTTTACTGGGCATCAATAAAGGAGGTCTATTCGGCTGGTGCTTGGAGCATGGGTGAATGACGTTTCTGTCAGGTTTAAGGAGGTTGGGCCAGGTTGTTTTGTTAGTTGCCCTGAAGTCAACCCTGCCTCATGGCAACTCTGTGGACCCACTATCCTCCACTGCTCTGCTTAGGTCTTGTAGATTCAGGCCCATGACCTCCTTGATCATGGAGTGACCCATCTGGAGTGCAGTGTTCCTCTCTTTCCACCTTTCCTATCATTATTGTCTGTTCCAGTGTTTCATGCCTTCTCATGATGTGGCCAAAGTATGACAGCCTCAGTTTCATGATCTTGGCTTCCAGGGAGAGTTCAGGCTTGAACTGTTTCTAGGACCCATTTGTTTGTCTTTTTGGCCAGCCACAATACTCTCAGCACTCTTCTCCAGCACCACATCTCAAATGAGTTTATTTTCTTCCTATTTACTTTCTTCACTGTCCAGCTCTCACATCTGTACATGGTGATGCAAAATAACTGTGCAGCTGATACAGAATACTGGCCTATATTGGACTCTGCAGTAAATCTGAATGTTTAGCTAAGCAGATACAAAACTGCATCTAACAACAATTTATAAAAGCAAGAATGCCTTTTTATGGGATGTGGAGAACAGTTAAAAGATTATTTTTTATTTAATCAAATATGACACTGAATAATTTACCTGTATTTTCTGCCGTATAAGACGACCCCCAACTTTTCCAGTCAAAATATAGAGTTTGG